TGTTGCTTGCCTAGCAGATAAGTGACGGGGTAGAATTTGGAACAAGGCCTCTGAATCTGGCCCTGCTTTTAGAGTGATGCAGTCCCTCACTCCCAAGCGTATCATGAGGAGATTGTAATACACATGGTTAAGAGACCACTGTGCTGCACTGTGATAGAGGTTAGAGACAGGTGCCATGACTATGAAATCTTTTTCCCATACACCATGTATTTAGTACTCTAGCAAGTGGAGAAGATAGCCATCACCCTGAAGTTTTGATTACCCTCTTACCCAGCTGGCTTTTTTTTCCAAGAAATTTGTGGCCTATATATTTTCAATGTTTGATATTGTCAGTGGATTCTTCTACCTCTTTTTTGTGAAACTTTCTTACACTTTTAGGAAGGATTTATTTGCTATAATAATAATAATAAAAAAGAAAGCAAACATGAGAACAAACATGAGAAGGAAAAAAAAAGGCTCTGTGTAACCAAGGAGCTTGTGTGGTGTTAACACCAGAGGTCATTTATAAAATCTGCCTGATTTATTTTCTAATTTGCTGACTCTAGGCCAAGCCTGCCGCCTCCTGGCCCAGCCTCTAAGCACATGTACAAATGGACACAAGCAGATGCAAATCAGTTTGTTGTCATCATGGTTGGCTCCATATCCCACATCATCAGGCAAGGGAAGCCCGGTGAAGCAGGGCGCCAATCTGGGACACTGAGAAGACTGGCAGAGGCCAGAGCATCAGGGGAGCCATTTGAAAACCAGACTTCATTACATGGGCAAAACTGACTTTGCACCTTCAATGCACATTTAAATCTTGTTCATGCTTCACATCCTGGGCAGGGCATAGTGTTAGCACACACAGACACCTTGCAATAAACGTTCACAGAGAAATACAAAGTGTATTTGTATTGTATGGGGCAAAGGGAGGGAAGGAAGGAAGGGAGAAAGAAGGAAAAGAGGAAAGAAGACATCAAGTCAGGAATTCAAGGAAGTGAAGCAAGAAACTGGTAGAGGAAGGGAAGGGGAGAGGAAAAAAAAAGTGATAAAAGAAGATAAACAGGAGAGAATTAAAAGGAGAAAAGAATATGGAAGGAAAATGAGGGAAGGAAGGATAGAAGAATGGGTGGGTAGAAAGAAGAGAAAGGAAAGAAATGTAGCAATGTTAGCTAAAGCATTCCAGAGGAAAGCCACCGGAAGACGCATGGACTCGAGGATACCTTACTGTTAATCATGACTGTCACAGACTTCACCCTTCTCTAACTCCTGTCTCACAAAGTATCTTCCCTACCCAATTTAACACTTCATTAGCTCACGTCTGATTCTCAAGTTATTTCATCACTGGGCTACAAGCTTGTTGAGAACGTGGTTCTAACTTAGATTTCTTTTGTACTTGACCATCTCCTGTTCTTGTCTGGTCCCTAAGACAGTGCTGGGTACATGAAAAGCAATGAGTTATCCCAGCATTCATTAGGTCCCTGCCAACCTTAGCAACTTCTCTCACTGTGATGTGCAACTTCTTTTTTGTTCTTTATGTAGTCAAGTGGGAAGTATTGTTATCTCTGCTGTCATGTATTTTCCAGAAGTGCCACAATATCTAAAAAACACATTCATTATAGTCTGTCTAAAGAATCACTCATTGATATTACTGTGACAGGTTGCTCTTAAGGAATGCATACTGTTAAAGATCCTTCAGGTGGGCAATCTTACAAACACTACTGAGAACTTTTCACCCACCCTCACCACCTGGCTAGAGTCTGGGAAAGAATGCCATCCAAGTAAAGCAGGATTTCAATCTCCTTTCCATAGCCAAGACATTTAAATTTTGTGTTTGCAGAGGTAGTACGCGTGTGATTTTTCCCCTCTGGTGGGAAATGTAACACATGCCCATGACCTCCCAAGCTGGTCACGGTGGTGTGGTGCCAAAATAGCAGGTCCTCGTATATCCTCAAACCTCTGTGGCCACATTACACCGAGTCTGGTTTTCAGAACTAAATCTTCCTCACTATGGGCCTTGGGATGAAGCTGCAGGTGTGTAGAGGGGGCAACTAGACACACTTGTAAAACCGAGCCGTCATCTCCTAAAGGATACATAAACAGGGAAGAGCAGACAGACCCCTCCTCTTGACTGTAAGAAGTATTCATATGCTAATGCTCAAGTCAAATGTGTCTTCTGGGCTGCTTAGGACAGACAAGAAGTTGGGCCTGATGGGTCCTGGGGCTGACATGGAAGATTCTGTGCATTGATCAGAAACCATTTTCACGACAGTGTTGCCTGTTCTGAAGAGTTTGCCTGCTGCGCTCTGGGCATGATTTTTGACTCAGCAAAGCTTCAGAAGCCATCACCCCTCTAGCCCTTGTCCTGTCTTCCTCTGAATGAACCTTTCTGACTTTTTCAAGTGTTTCTGATACAAGAGAACCGAGTGAATGAAAGTGGGTAATTTAGAAAAGACCAAGAAGAGAAATATGCAAATGTCATTATCAAGAGTAGGAATAATATTTAACTAGAAAATAGCCTATTATTGGGCTACATGGTTTTAGGAAGCCATGTGCAATGTACATGCCCAGCATAATTTAAATCAGGCGTCCCCAAACTTTTTACACAGGGGGCCAGTTCACTGTCCCTCAGACCGTTGGAGGGCCGCCACATACTGTGCTCCTCTCACTGACCACCAATGATAAGAGCTGCCCCTTCCTGAAGTGCGGTGGGGGCCGGATAAATGGCCTCAGGGGGCCGTAGTTTGGGGATGCCTGTTTCAAATGAATTCCTTCCATTTATGGTCATTATTATGCCCATATGTAGCCTTTGGGGAAATCCTAACAACAGTGACATTACTGGACTGGGTTGAGCCTGCTTTCCCTGTTCTCATCAGTAAAGGGTGGGCACTGGAGTTTGCTCTCTGGATTAAAAAGTCTAAATATCCTCTCAGCTTCACTGGAATAGAAAGAACATGTGGTCTGATCCCTGGCCCCCAGCAGTTTGGAGCACTTTTCAATATACTTTCTACCCCAGACATGAGGAGGAAACCTGACAGCTCTGCTGGGCGTTTCATTCAGGAGATGGAGGGCTATCTGGGGGTAGACAGGGGACACCTCGTGTGTTTCCTCTGCGAGGGAAATACTTTCATCATCTTCCAAAATAAAAGTACCAGTCTGATAAGATGCAATTCCCTTGACTGAATCCCATCCAGAAAGGCCCATCATCTAATGGCCAGGGACCAGGCATGTGAATTCTCTCTCCTCAGAGACTGATAAGGGAGTCACAAATCTGTTCCTTGAGCCCTGAGAATAAGAATAAAACAAGAGCTCTCATGCACCTCCCCCAAACAAATCATTAGTTATCAATCCCTTCCCATTCCCAGGAGACAATTTTACACACACACACGCGGGCACTTACATACACACTTCACTGGTGATCATCATAGATGTCAGCCTGTGATGATGGCGTGGAGAAAATTCTTTGATAAAAATGACAAGTCCTGAAATTCTTTGATAAAAATGACAAGTGGATTCTTGGCTATTTCAATTCCTACTAAAACAACAACCGCTTCTCAACAAAGACGTCCCACTTGGGACTTCCAGAACGAGGAGAACAGAAATGTCAACAATACAAGGGAAAGATGGTAGCAACAATAGGAATCATTTCTTGAGGGCTTATTCTCTGCCAAACACATTGGTGCAAGCAGTGTTTTGTTTAATCCTCTAGGCAAAGGTGGCGCTGATATTAAGGAACAATGGTACTAGTGAAGGGGAAACAACAGCAGAGAAATCCTTCAAATCTGAATGACAACAAAGGAACACAGCAGCAAGTCCTTCTCATTTCATCTGAGTTTAACCGGAACATTTTCATGTAAAACCACAGAGAAAACAACAGACGATTCTGAACCTCAAGAATTTAAAAATCCTCTAACTCCTTTCACCCTGTTTTGTTCTGCCCTGTCATAAAAGGCATGAGTCTGTTTGACCGAAAAGATTCCTCTCAAAGGGGAAGTTAGATTCATTTAAGAGGTTAAACAGTTTTGGGATCATGTACTGGGAAGATTATTTGAATCAAAATAAGAACACGAGGTAGTCATTCAATGCATGCTAGCCATTGAAAATTGAGCATGGTTTATCTGTGTCTGTTCAGGGACCCAGCAATGCAGGCTGCTGGTCTGGTCGTACCAATCCCATGCATTTTTCTGTGCTCTATGGAGGACCTTCTTACTTATTTCCATTTTCCTTCAGGACAAAAATTGATAGGTGACTCACTGGCTTTTCTAGCTTCTCTGTTTCGCTTCCATGTTCACCCTGCTTCTGGGCTTCCCTAGTATTAGTTAATGATATTGTTTTATTTTGACAGGGCCCTTCCCATTGTTCATATGAATTTGACACATAAATCATATTCTTTTTGTCCCTTCTCTTTGGGCATACAAATACTGCAATGGGCTAGGAGTACAGCTCATTTGCAGATGGGAAAAACTGAGCTTCAGGGAGGTGAGGAATGATGTCTGCCTCTGGATGTGAGCCTGGAGGGGTACAGCTGAGAAGAAGTCACTTTTTTTCTACTTAAAGAACAATGCTGAAAAACAGCCATGAATACAGCTTTCTTGAGTCATAGAAGATCTTTGTATTATTTGGGATGATCTTTCCTCAATTGTGTGAAGTCCAGAATATGGAATCCTATAAGAATATGGTTTAAGGATAGTGCCCTATTAGCCACTGTCACCTGATTTCACACTTATTTTGGGAACTTTCAGGTGAACTCATACTTTTAAATCTCTCATAAGCTTTTCAAATTAATTTGGCATCTGATGAAAGTCATTACCATTTTGGATAAGTGCTTTTCTTTCTACAAAGACAAAAGCAAGCAAAAAGTAGAGAACTATCTGCCAAAAACTGAGGTCACTGCAAAAGAGAAGGGCTGATAAACCCCCAGAGGCTGTTACATCCCTAGTGCAACTCATGAAGAGTCCACCTGCAGCCAGCAGTTATGCTAAATTTTAGCAATGCAAGTTCACTCGAGCAAAATAATTTACCTTGGAGTCCAGTTGCTGCATGTATGACCAAAGATATTCTATATTGGCTCCGAAAGGATGGACATGAAGAAACGTTGATATGATACCTGAATTAAAAAGGCAAACATTGGAAATTATTCAAAGGCAAATGAGAGTCTTTGTTAAATAATGCTATCTAACCCCAGTGACTGATCTGCCAGACTGAGTTATGGTCCTGCCATTTCTAGCAGCCATCAACAAACATTCAATAATAGCACATTTGAAGACAGTAACAGTAACATGGCAAACAGAACACTTTATCTCCTGAAATGATAGTAGTTAGCAAAACTAGACTCTGAGATAATATAAAGCTGAATAAAGGTATTTCAAAACAAAGACTCCTGGAAGCATTTCAACTACCAATTTTATGCTTGATTTACCAATATAAAATTATAGTTATTGGAAGGATAAAATTTTCTTTCCCTCAGTGGACTTTGCAGTATGAAAATGGCTCATACAACTGTGTCAGAAATCACACTGCCTCAAATTTTCCTGATAATTACAGTTGCCAGTTGTGAAGAGTATTTAATCTATATTTCCCCCAACTGCCATTGAAGGAAGCCCAAATTCTTCCTGAAACATTTGCTGTTTTCCCCGGTTGTTGCTCTTGTTTAAAAGGAGCCAGCTCATTCTTCCCTTCTCGCTGCTGTAATTTACAAGATCATTTTAAAAGGTCAGGGAATGGATGGTTTGGATGCAGTTTGATTATAAATCATAAGGCTTTTCCATCATGAAAATAAACTGTCAACATTGTACTGACAAATGAGAAGCTGGATGTTGGTGTCAGGAATGAAGTACAAAGCATTACCTTCCTCTTCTCCCTGCTCCCAGATCCAAAATCAAAATAGTGAACACAAGGAAGTCAACTCCATAGACTATAGACTGTTTTTTGTTAAGAAGTTGTGCTCTTGCTATTCACAATAGCAAAAACATGGAATCAGCTCAGGCGTTCATCAGTGGTGGATTGGATAAAGAAACTGTGGTATGTATACACCATAGAATACTATGCAGCCATAAAAAAAGAAAGAAATCATGCCCTTTGCTGCAACACCCGTACAGCTGGAAGCCATTATCCTAAGTGAACTAATGCAGAAAGAAAACCAAATATTGCCTGATCTTGTAAGTGGGAGCTTAGTACTCATGGACATAAGAAGGGGAACAGGAGACACTGGGGACTGCCAGAGGTGGGAGACAGGGACAAGCGTCAGTGCTGAGAATCTACCTATTAGGGATAATGCTCATTACCAGGAAGATGGGTTCAGTCACACCCCAAACCTTAGAATCATGCAATAGGCCTCTAACAATCCTACACATGTACCCCTGGATTCTAAAATAAAAGTTGAAAAAGAAAAAAAAGAAAAGTTGTGCTTAGACGGATAGTTTTTAGCATTCTATTAAGAAGGTTTCACAGGTTTCGAGATGAATAAACCTGAGGGTAAGCCTTCATGTTCTGATTTTTGTGAGCCTTCATGCTTGGAAACCCAAGGTCACAGGGCAGACCCTCACCTGTATGAAATGCAATCTGGGTGGGCACAGGTGGGCACAGCATTCTTGTACGAGGTCATCCTCTATTTGTAGGTGACCTTGAATTGATCTGCCATAGGGTTTCATGGCTCCTGATGCTATGAGATGAGCGTCAAGTTTTTAAAGAAAAGTAACCCGTTCATCCTTAGGCTGAGACAGAGAACCAAAAGGACTCTCCAAGACCTGTCTTCAGAATACTGCTTTTCCAGGGCTTCTGGAGGTGTACAGTGAGATGGGGAGGTAGAAACAATTCCAACATTTCCCTGTAAAGGTAGAATCTCAGTTTTTAAAGACTGACCTGTTCTTTCTGAGATACAAAGAACTACCATTTTATTCTGAGGTTATAGTCTTCCTTTTCTTGTCAAAATGTCCTTTTTTGAAATAATGGCAATGGTAGAAGGTAATGAGGGTACTTTAAAAGTATCTTTAAGTGGCAAAATAGCCACTTTTAATGTACTCAGGAAGCACTGTGTTGTCCCCTCCCCTTATTTATTTGCTTATATTTTAATTTTAGAGATCTGGAAGCTACTTCCCTGTGTCTGAAATTCTCAACTCTGGTGAAGTGGCTTTGTAAGTAATTCTATTACTAATAAGAGTTAAAATACAAAAGCTCATGAGTGATTTCTTTCAAAAAATTAAAATATAATAGAACTATTTAGAAATGATTTGTTTCATTTGCATTTCTTTTTTTAAAAATTTAATTGATATATAGTAGTTGTACATATTTTTGGGGTACATGGCATATTTTGAAACCTGTATACAATGTGTAATGATAAAATTGGGGTGATCAGCATAGCCATCACCTCAGACATTTATAATTTCTTTGTGTTGAGAACATCCCAACTCTTTACTTTTAGCTATTTGGCAGTATAAAGTAAATTGCTGTTAACTATAATTTCCCTACTGTACTATCAAATACTGGAACTTAGTCCTGTTTTTTGAATGAGAGAGTAAAGGCTGAATCATAATATGTGTAGAGGGAATCCCCTCTCTTTCAGGATGGTGAGTGGGGCTTTCACTGACCATCCCAGGTACTGTGGCCACCGCTTTCCACAGCCAGCCTCCCACAAGTGATGGGCAGGAGAAGGACAGGCGAGGGAGAAGGAAAAGTCAGCTTTGGCTTTGTGAGCAAGTGAGGGGGTGCTCCTAGTTGGAAACTTTTTTTCTTGCCCACAGGGTTCTCCCAGGGAGATGAGGGGTGCTGCAAGGTGGAGAGCAGCATGCCTTGGGTGGATATGTGCTTAAGCAGCAGGGCTGAGACAGGGAGTGGCAGTGGCACTGCAGACTTTGGGGTGACAAGGGTGTGTAAGTCTCCCATGAGGAAAGAGGGCATAAGACTTAAGCAGTCTTACGTAAACTACCTCAGGCACCCCAGCAAATAGATAACAGCCTTTTTCTTATTATCCCTCCTGGACAGAGAGTCTTCAACATCTCCTGCTGTAGGTTATCTACAGCCTCTTGTAAATGCCCATGGGTGTTTCGTTATCAGTTTAAATGGCTTTAATAGGATGAATAAAACAAGTCAGAGGAGGATGGGGTGGGTTGGGGGAAAGGTTGATAACCCTTAGCCTAGGAGATCAAGTGTTGACATGGGTAATTTAGGGCCACCAGAAACGGGAGGACCTAGAGTGGCCTCTTTTGTTGTACCCTCTGTGAACATGGATTTGCTCCTCCACTATCTGCTGTTGCCCCTGATCCTAGGTCTGCACCCCAAGGAGCTGTGCTCTTAGTCTTTGTGTGTTCTGGTTCCATATCCAGAACACAGTGTACATTTACAAGAGGTATATGTTGAATGTATTTATTTGCCAGAACTGGAAATTGCCAGCATACTTGTTTAAAATTTCTATTAGTCTATTATTGATAAATGGGGATAAATAAGAACCTTAAACATTTCTACAAGTAGTAACAGATCTTTAAAAAACCAGGTAACTTTGAGGTATTATTCACTGGCAATTCTTACTCTTAACTCACCCTGTCATGGATTTAGAAGGACAGAGTAACTTGGATGTTTTGTGCAAGGAAAATCTTCACTGAAACTATTTTGCTCATAGCTAAGGGGAAAATGCTTACATGATTTCTGTGTACTTTTCTAAAATCAGATTAGAAATCCTGATGTGGACTGGAGCATTCTTTTAGGAGGGTATGCAGAACCATCTCTGTGGTAGCTGATATTAAGAAGGCTTTAGCTTTTCCTTATAAGAGTTCAGCAATTGCCACTAGATATATGTAGGGTCAAGGCAGGCAGTCACATAAAGGCTTCCCAAGCTTTTCCTGTGGATGACAACCCAATTATCCAGTGTTGTTGGAGACACAGCAGAAAGGAAAGCATGAGTCATCATCCTCCACAGTAACTTGCCTCTCCTCAGCCCAACTCCCACTCCTGCATCTGCCCATCCCAGGAGCACCACATAAGCATCGGTCATGCCACTTGAGAAAATGTTTCTAGGCCCTGTGATTTTGGATCAGGTTCCTTTGAGGGGATCTTCCTAAATAAACAAGTAAAGCATCTTTGCAGCTTCTTTAAAGGAACTGGGATATTCCCTGGGGTTGGAAAAAGGATGGCTGTAACTCAAAACTAATGAAAAATACCACAAACCTGGAAAATTGAGACTATCTTATGGTCCTCTGGAAGGGACCAGAAGGCTTGATAAAAGGAACACTAGGCATGGAGGGTGCGGGATTTAGCTGTTACTGAACTGGTGGATCTCCAAAGGAACGGCTCAACAGCTGGTCTTGCTTGTTTCCACGGAGATGCAGAAGGCCTCCATATTTGAGAATGGGTTTCCAACAGTGGAAGAAAACATTTTAAGCAGCTAATTTTAAAAAGTTTTAAAATAACAAAGGAGGTTGTCTGTACTATTGGGTTTTTTGCACATCTTGGAATCTTAAAAACTAGTTTAGAAAGATACACTAGCTCTGGACGCCTGTGGCAAATCTCGTTAGGAAGGCCCATTTAAACTGGATACCCAAAAGCACTGTGAGCTGCTCCCATCAAAACCAGCTAGTTTATTTTCATTACTGGGCCTCACTAAGACTAAGGAAGCAGTATTTAAATTAACCAAATAGTTCCAGATTTGTACTACTTCATCACTTATTTTATATTTTACACACTTAGCAGCCAGGAGGTGGCAAGGTGCTAGAGGCACAGCATTGTATAAGACAGGCAAAGGGCTGGTCCTGTGGAACTTTTATTCTAGGTGAGCAACACAGATAATAAACAAAAAGATGAAAAATAAATATTTTTAGATAGTGCTTAGCACAATGAAGAAAACCAATCAGGGAAGAGGACAGAAGAGAAACCTGCAGCTTGCTGGAGTGCTACTTTACACAAAGCGGATGTGGTTTGGCTGTGTCCCCACCCAAATCTCATCTTGAATTATTGCTCCCATAATTCCCACATGTTGTGGGAGGAACCCAGTGGAAGATAATTGAATCATAGGGGCAGTTTCCCCATACTGTTCTCATGGTAGTGAATAAGTCTCACGAGATCTGATGGTCTGATAAGGGGAAACCTCTTTCACTTGGTTCTCACTTCTCTCGTTTG